AAAAGTGGATAAAATGCTGACCAAATAGGTGATAAATATATTGGTTGGATAATGGTATTTAAAACGCGATAGTCACTTGGTGACCAGAATGCGGGAAGATGCGATAAAAACAGAGCCCATGCCTGCTCGAAATCTTTCGATTGAAGAAAATTTCTGACCTCCTGTGAGAACTAAAACCTTAGTTCATTCCACTGCTTATCGATGATATTACGCAAGTGATGAACCATCCATCCACTCATATCCCTCGAACGCGTAACGATCCAAATTTAACGGTATCCACAACACAAATAAAACTTGCCATACACAAGTGTACCATCTATATCATATCAACCGTGTGAAATAACGTTTGATTTGCCCCATTCCCAACCTGCCTGAGCATATACAAGCACCCATAATTCAATTATTTATTCAATATCTCGGATCAAACAAGCATGGAAAGACGCCAACGAGTCCCAACGTCTTTGCGCTTGATGCATTGAACTGTACGTCGAGCATACTCCTATTTCGACACTTGAGCAACTTCTCCGGTTATGCCTCCCCGAACCCTCCATGTGACCAGAACCAATGCCACACTTTTAAATAAGTTTCGAATGGCGTTATAAAGCAAATTCTCGTGCCTTTCAATCTATAGAAAATGAAGAAGAAAATTAGCAAAAGAACAAATAACCAAGACAAATTCATAAAACTCGACGCAAAAATTACGCGCAACGGACGACGTGATGGTCGCTCTAATATCATAGCCCATCCATAAAATAAGCGAGTGTCCTGACTTCCGAAGCAAAGCAAATTCCGAAAATATGCCTGAGGCGCGTTATGTAATTCACAGTTACAGTAGGTAGTCTCTTTATCAGCAACATTGTTTAGCCAATATATCGAATCTCTCAGATTCTTTATCCAACGCTGCTTTACTCAGATTCGCCATCAAAAATGATTGAAGTTTTTGGATGGTACTTTATACACGCCTTGTGTCCCTTGAGTGCTCCAGTGGAACGGCAGTAGACTCAACTCTTATTGTGAAAGCACAGCTAATTGTTTTAGTTTCCTTATATAGCTTGTCTAACAGCAAACCTAAACTATGAATTAATCTTTAGGCTATATCGAAAAATTGCACTCCGTCTCGCTATTCGTTTGGCTGCGCGCGAGCCTGATATCTCATTTGATAATAACAGCCGTGAACATTATAATTTTGGCAATGTTGTATGCTAGCAAAGTCGGGAGGAGAAATACAAATGCAACTTCTTGGAGCCTTGATGAATAATTCCGACAGAAATGCAATTTCAGGTAATGCTAAAGGTTACTACGTAGAAGTACAGAAGATGAGTTTGGAGACTCTAAATAAATAAAGTGTCTCCAATACCAAATACCATGAATCGTATGTTTTGGATCATTCCAATCATCCGGGTAAGCTTTTGAAGGATAAAATTCGGCATACATTATTTATCGAAAGCAAATATACTTGTTTTTTCCTTTTGCTGAAAAAGAAAAAGAAAAAAAAATAATTAACGTTCAACGGATATTGCCTCGGCGTGGTTAAACGCAAGGAAATGTCTTCTTTTTTTTTTTTTTGCAACGATGCTGTTCACATTCTCTTCATCGGCAAGCCCGTTGGCCATAACATTTCTTAGCATTAACAACGTTCATGTATTTAGAATAAATTCATTACGCGTAATAAACGATTTTCCATTACATTATACATGGAAACAGAACCAGTCCCTCGCTCTTCCTTGGTTTTGGCGTTTTGCATGGTCAGTAGAGAACTCGAGAAATTTTAGCTTCTTTGAAAATTAAATACCAATCCTTGTCGGGTTGGATCATATATTTTTGTTCATTGCTATGATAATTATTCGAAGCAATAGGAAACTGTTTGTGAAGTGTAGAAGTCATTTACTCGTATATCATTTAATTTTAACTTTGTATGTACTTCCAAATAACCTCCAATGAAATTCCTCGACACGAATAGTGAGTCTTCAAGTTACTTGTGCACTCGATAGAAAACAAGAAAATAGCGCGCGAAAATATGCATTAATGCAAATGCAGTCGTATGTAAATGGAGTTATATACACGCCTGTACGTGACGCATGCGTTGATGGTTTGCTTGGACTAGTGAAGAGAAACGATACTCGATTCATTAGAAATACAATTGATCAGAAAGACGTACTTGTTATGACAAGTGGAATATGTTACATTGGATTAAAAATGGGGGAGCATATATTCAGTATCTTATGTTACATTTCATTCCTTTCATCCATACACTCACAGTCATTAACGATTTAGAGAACCTATATAAATAAGCGCTCTTCTACTTAATTATCCATACCTACGACTCTTAATAAAATCCGAGTCTTTTGAATACATACCCAAACACTAACACAAAATGCCACCCACTACCGTAACGGCCTTCTAGTCGCCAGACCTATCATTAAACCACCTCCTTCCCATTACTGTCGATAGAATACATATAATCTTTTATCAATATAACCATCTCTAAATACTCCATATATTTCAAGCCATGAGATAAAAATTCGGGTTAATCATAAAATTTTATCGAATATTAATCTTTGTACAATTAATAACTTTATACCAGATGTAAGAAGAATTATGATGTTGAATGAATATGATAAGATGTGAGCCTACAAGTGTCTTTTGGTTTACATTTGAAATGAAGCCTCTTCTTCATGAAATGCTGGTGCTCGCCTCGCCTGTTCGAACTCGTTACTAAAAGATATTCGCAAAGAACGTATGAAATGGTAATGTATGTAGTAACTGAGAAACTATAAATGACGTAGATAAAACAAGCCACCTACCTGTCATCATCAGGTGCAGGCCGTCTTCTTGCCGGACGGTTGAGCTCTGGTTCTCTACAGCTTTGTTGCATTACTGAATCCCTCGCAGAATAGATAGGTTCGTATTCCTGTGTTAAATTAGCTTTAGACATTAGCATATTTACAGAGTTTGGAATTTGATAATAGATATGTTGATTTCGTTATAATAATTCCAATAGTTATAATAATTCTTTTTCTAGAATGTTCTCAACCATTTCACATTCAGTCGTCCCACCCGCTTCTCGGGATAACCTACGGACCCCTTCCTCTCCAATTCCCTCCCTCCTTCCTTCCATCCTTCTTTTATCCTAGACAACTCAACACTCGACCTTCCATCAACACTCACCTTTAACTGAACCTTAAACCCTTCATTTGGATTCATACAAAATCTCCTATTCTGCACAAACGTATATGCACATTGATAATCCATTTTCGCCGTTTCCATAACATACGCCACAACAAATGCAGGACTTCTACTAATTCCTCCATTGCAATGTACGAAAACTCTCCCGCCACCATTTAATGCCTCGTCAATAAACTGTTTCGCCGCAGGAAAATGCGGGATCAGTCGCTCGTTTGGAGAATCTGAAACTTCAATCTCGAAATATAAAAAGTGTTCAGGAAATCGGGGGCGTATGATCCTTTTTTCGGATGCGTCTCGTATGGAAACAATATGCGTAATGCCATTGGCTTTGAGTTGATTAAATTCCTTGGAGTAGGAGTAAGGTCCGAGAAACAAACCCGGAAGAATTTCTTGCATTTGGCGGCGCATTTCGTATCTGAGGGTGGGGGAGAGAAAAGTGGAAGAAAAGGACAATGAGTGAGACAAGCTTTCTTTTTTCTGTGATGTATAAGCATGTTTGCAAGAATAGAATCTAAAAGAAGATTGTATACGAGACGAAACGTATACGTTGATACTTCAAAACTACGCCTCATTCTCTTTATTGTTCTTGTCGTATTAGTAATCTAGATGAATGTAAACCACGACACGCACACCACACACACACCACACCCACAAAATTCAACACGAACGCAGTCTTGTCTCTTAAACCTTGTCCACACTTTCTTTTCCTCAGACTACAAAACCCCCCAATCGGTTAGTATTTTACGTACTTCCAGTCGAGTACAACCTGGTTGTTGTTGACAAGCGCCTGAAAACTTTGCGTGGTGCTTGTATTCCTCGTTGGCGGTTGCGAGTCGACCATCATGTCGTCCATGTTTGCGAAAAAAGTGTTGATAAGAATGTTGATTATATGGTACTGACGACTATTTGAGGATAGTGTGAGAGTACGTGATTTCGGCCAAATATACGTAGCTTTTCTTCGTGTGTAACCGATGTGTGTGTTATTAAATATTATTTGTAATGATGACAACTGCTACGGGTTGATTATTCGACAATCGACACGGCAAGGCAAGGCAAGAGACGGCGGGAGTAAGAAAGGACACAATATATCGAGCGCACAAGAGATAAGATTCTCTGTTATCAAAGCTGACTGGGTCACACTTTAATTAGCATGTATCTTTAAACGTCATATGGTGACATAGTAATAGTTAATAACAACAGTCATGGATTTTTCGTGTTACTTTGATCTGTTTTTATACAAGTTTGTCATGATTTACAAGAGTAGCTAGCTCTCTCCTATTGCTTAACCACCAAGAGTTCCAGTGCATAATGATGTTTTCGGAAAATCGCCAAAGCTTCATGTATCCTTTTGTTATTCCATGATTCACATCTTCCATTTACTATTTACGCCTTGATCATTACTTTACATTATTTTTTGCTTTATTTTGCTTCTCTTTGAATGCAACACCGAATCGAATCAAAAACGCAAGCGACAATTCTACTAGAATATTTAAAGAATATAAATATAATATATACAGTATAGTAATATAGATCTGCCAACTTTAAAAGAGATAAAAACACTATCACTAACTCGAATCAACAAAAGAATAGAGAAACCAAACACAATCTTTTAACTCAACAACAAAAAAATATATTGACTGACGGGCTACTCCAACCAATCTGTTCGGTATTTTTATAACAGCTCCCGAACCAACAAGTTAATCACATATGAAACCTCACGGAACACAAAATCATTTGACGTGTCGAGGACGGATGGTCCGGTTGGAAGATGGGTATCCATCCACTCGTGTAATCAGCTTATCGAATAGCATCTATCATTCGCCGCCATCTTCATCGTAGCTTATAAACTCGGAGAAGTCTGGATCTGCTGTGCTATCCCATTGCATACTCTCATCGCCTACGTAAATATCCAGCTGTGTGTGGACAAGTTTATATTTTAGAGGATTGATTCGTAATGGCTCACATCCAAGTACTATAAGAAAACACGCACAATCCGCACGCTCACACACCCACGCTCCACTCCCCCACACATCCCCCACACCCATCCACCCACACACTCTCTTTGTCTTAATAATCCAAATCACATCCCCTGTCTCTCGCTCCGCCAATCCTTTTAAACTTACATCCCCATAGCCGCCGGCAAGGTTTTGTTGCGCCTGATTTTGTGTCGGCACTTGCGCTTGCTGAGTTTGCTGTTGTGCCGGGTTTGCAACTATATCCCCATTAACCATAGTTTGTTGTTGCCCAGCATCGCCTGCATTGGCGGTTTGCACAAAGTTTGCGGGTTTATTTGCAGTCTGAGTCTTGCATGTAAATAGATTGAGCAGGTAGATTAGGGAGGGAGGGAGGGGGGAGGAAAGGAAATTACGTTTAATTTAGTACACTGAATTATTGAAAGTTGGAATATTTCGATGATTATCAAATGAAAAAAGTGTGGCCGAGTATGAGAAAGGATATGCAATTCTCCTTTCCTTTCTCATCTATACCCGCCTGATTTATTTTAATATCGAATCAACCTCTATCCTTATTCGTATTCTTTCTTACCCTCTAGTTCCACTTTCCCTCTTATACCTCTCGAATATTTTCACTCTTGTCGTTACCCTCGACATTCATGCTCTTTCCGCTTAAAATCCCCTCACAACGCCCATACCTGATTTACAGGCTTCTTACTATCCGGCTTCACCTTATTTCCCGGAACAGCATTCGTCTGATTTGGCTGCGTAGCCATAGACGGTACTTGTGGTACACCTTGTTGCTGCGGTTGAGCATAGAGCACCCTCGACGCCATGTTACCAGTGGGAATTAATAAACCATCGCTTGTGGTAACTTGGGTTGGGCGTTGTTGCTATATACCAATAGGCGTGTTGAGGGAAGGAAGAGGAAAGAGGAGCGACAAAAGAGAGGAAAGAGGAAATACGTATGGATAGAGAATAAAGGATAGAATGAATGACGAAGAGATCAGTCTGAAGGTTCATCGATCTTGACATGCTTTGCCAGCAGATTGAAATTATTGTAAATGCTCTTTGGTATAAACAATAATTTATGCTCTTCAACAATCTCCTTTCCATTCGTTCTTCCTTTCAGGACCTCGAATTTCCCTTTACAGATACGTGCCTATCTTGATCTTCGTTAAACTAACCACCTCCCCCACCATGCATCTCTTTATCTACTTCACCTATACTAATTTACTAGCCAATACTCACCGGTCTCACTCCACCAAGGTTGTAAGGCGGTCCGTTCGCAATAACGTAAGAAGGTCTCATATACATTTGCTGTTGCATTGCCTTGTATGCCTCGACTTGGTCTTGAGACACAACATCGTGTCCAATTATTTGTGATGGAATCTTTTGGTTTATAATGCGTCGTTGACTCATCATCTGGTTTTTAACCGCTTGTTGTGCCTGTGCCCGCGCTGAAGCTATTTGTGCTACTTGCTGCGATTGCATTTGTTGCGCCTGTAGCGCCTGGGTAGAGATTGAAGAAAAATAAGAACAAAGAATTGCAGTAAAAGCAACGAGTCATAAGCCAACTTACCAAAAGTGAATTTTGTATTGGAGTTTGAGGCTGCGGTCGGGGTGTTCCTTTAAGACGAGAAAAACATTGATCAGACATTGACGATAATATATAGAACGTATTACTTATTAAGGCAAAATCAACAATTGACGCGTTATGACTAAATGAATGTCCCAATTGAATTGAAATTAAATCCACCGTCACTTACTTGGAGAAGTAGCCGAACCCATAGCTGGCGATCCAGCAGCTTGCCCGTCCGGTCGTTTTGTTGCTGCGTTCGGAACTTGAGGTAGATGTATCTGCTGTGTTTGAGGTGATTGTTGTCGTATCAATTGGTTTGCTTGAGATGGAAGTCGAAGCATTGCTTGACCTATGGGAGATGGACTTATGAATTGATTGTTTCCATAACCAGGCCTAAGATGGGGAAAAGTTGGGACACCATACTTAGTATTGAAGATGAAAAAGCGAGTATAATAACAATATCACAAGCGTAATCATAACTACAACGACGGATACAACGGCGACGGCGACAACAGCAACAACCATTGCTTATAAACAATCTATCTATCTATTAAACCCTCTAAAGATTTTCAAGTTCTCACACCTCCATCAACATTCAAATTCAATTGATACTGTTTTTGTATCCGACTTACATTAATAATCGATTTGGTTGCTGCCGAATTTGCGCTTGTTGAAACATAAACGTCCTATTATCATGAGCTGATAATTCTCCATTCGCTGTTCCCTCTGCAACGATCAGTGCACCGTTTGGCAATTGTCTAGTGAATTGTTGGTGCTGCAAATGACCCTGTTGCACTTGAGTTTGCCCTTGTACCTGGACTTGAGCTTGTTGCAGTCCTGCTTGTACTTGCTGCTGTGCTTGCTGTGGTGTTTGCACTTGTTGTTGCGGTTGTTGCTGTTGCACTTGCTGTTGTTGAGCTTGTTGTTGTGACTGCACTTGAGCTTGTTGTCCAGCCTGTTGTTGTACTTGTGGTGTTTGGACCTGCTGTTGCTGTGATTGTTGTTGCTGTTGTTGCACCTGCTGTTGTTGGGCCTGTTGTTGCTGGGCTTGTTGCTGGGCTTGTTGCTGGGCCTGTTGCTGGGCCTGTTGCTGGGCTTGTTGCTGAGCTTGTTGCGCTTGAGCCAATCGGCGATGATGGAGCGACAGCTGCTGGTGACTGAAACCAGCCACATTTATTTGCTGACCGGAGGGAAGTGGTCGTCCTAACATTTGATGACTCAAATCTGGTTGCTGTGCTCCTCGTACGGTATGCCTCATCTGGTTTTCGAGTTTGCAAGTTTGAAAAAAAAAAAAAAAATCAAGTAAACTTCAGTGGGTATAATCAATGAGTAAAGTGCGGCCATATATAAACGACAAATAGCCGCCGGTTGAAAAAGTCCGACCACTTGTAAACAATCCCATGTCTCCTCACTACGAACGACTAATATATATATACATTCAAACTTAACCAACAGTGCTCTTTTTCTTTTTATCACTGTTCTTCCCTAGATTTCAAAACAATACACATGTCCCCTTCTCTATGCCTTGCCTTCCTTCACAAGTTCGTACCTCATTAGGAATATGCATTCCTGACGCAATCGATGTTCCGTTTTGTTTCTTTATTGTAAGTTCCTCCCACAACATTGTAAACCACTCATACAGAAAGCTCTGTGGGGCTTCGTAAGGTAGTTGCACGTTAGGTAAATCACTACCGTTATCAGAACCCGAAGATCCCTCGCTCTTCTTGGAAAGAAACTCGTAGGGGTCATGTTCTCTCAGGTATGGCAGCAAAGCTCTAGCACTGTCTATGATGTTATTTTGTTTGAGGGTGTCGTATATGTAAAAGTAGATCATGATGTTGGGATCGAGCCGAGCGTTCGTGACCCCATTTCCCTGAGGAGCTCTGCGTTGCATTTGCTGAACTTGGGCAGATGGTATTTGTTGTGATGATTGCAAAGGGTTATTTTGAGTTGACATGGTGGTTCTGTGATGTAAGTCTGTTGTATGTGTTGTATTGTGTATGATCTATGTTGTTTGTATTAAATTGGGTGCTCTATAAATCGGTATTATTATGAAGATTGGAGCAATGAGTATTTGGTATGTATGAAGCTACAAGGATAGAGCACCGGCAATAGAGAGTAGTTCAAGTTGAAGTAGTGACAGAAGTGCGATGAGCGCATATATGTTAAAAAGAAAAAGTCAGCTGTATATTGATGACGAATGTGGCGGAGTAACGGGGGGGACAATGGAGTTATTAAATGCTGTTGGATTTATGGGGGTAAAAAAGGGTTCGTTTGCAAGAAGGAAAAAAGAGAAATAAAATAAAAAATAAAGATGTTGGAAGCAGAATGGAAATTATTCCAACTCTGTGGTCTTCATACTTATCAGAAAAGCCGAATTAATAATCATCATTATTAATTTTTAATATAATATCTGATTATTATTATGTAATGCGGATATTATTAAATCCTGACAACATCTTTTTCTCCCTTCTCATAACAAAAACCAGTTTTGTTGAAAAAAAAAAAGCTGGCTTCACCATCACGGATCGAGGCATGACAATTAGAACGAGGGATGTCTATTATCATCACTAACATCCAAAAGTAGGACGAGCAATCCAAAAGTTATTTACATCTCTGGCCTCTCACAATCAAGAATGGTCAGTTATATTCCATAATTATCATCTTCATTATTGTTATTTCTCGGTCTTTTTTTTTTTTTTCTCTTTCTTTGTGCACTGTTTCGGAAATTCACATTTCCTCGATTTTCCATTTGTGGAAACATGCGACTCCATCACAACTTTGCTCCTTAATGACATCTGTACTTTTGACCCGTTTGGCCAGATGCAACGTCTGGGCCCATACACAGCTTCTTCAAGCTGTCAGAAATGTCAGCGACGAACATTACAAAGCTCACGCGGGACTTTTCTTTAGATCGATTCACGGAACACTTAATCATATATTACTGGCTGACAAAATATGGTTGGTATAGGTTCTGTGGGTAGGAGAACTGCTAAGGAAGAGTTCTGGAAGGGGCTGACCATACATAGAGAACCCAGAAAAATATAGTCTAGCGTCTTTCTTTATGCAAAGTAGACCGCTGTTTTCTTGTAAAATCAATATTCCGCTCTGTAGCTTGTCCCTTACGTTATGTACTTGATTCCAATCATCAAAGTAACATTCAAGTCAACATTTTGATAGTAGAATGAAAACAATATGCTATAACATTGATTGTCAGCGTGCACTCGAATGATGTAATTAATCACATGAAGATTTTTCGATTGACCATCTGCATTCTTTTTTTTTTTCCAGGTATGCTCGTTTGATATCTGCAGTTGATACAGACGAATATGCATCGAACTGTGAGTATTGGGTAAAAACTGAGGGCCAAGACCCACTTGATTCGACCGGATCCATTTGGGAAGAGTATACCACAGATCGGAAAGAGTTGGAGAAGAAGATTATTGAACAGGTGAGGATCGAGCATGTTCGATGAGATGAGATGAGATAAGATTAGGCTAGATGAGATCCAATAACTCGACATTTACGCAGTACATACTCGCTCCTTTACAAAATAGGCCAAACTCTGGATCCCTCTTGTTGCGTCTGAGCCCGATGATCTAACACTATCTTCCGCTACGCTGGAGCAAAGAAGAATGGACGGTACTCTGGTTAGAAGAAGTAAATTAGAGTGTCTTATTCACATATTCAATCATGCCACTCATCACCGAGGACAGGTTTGTGTTGATTTTACAATGATCATTGGGAGGTTCAGTGAATTGCCTGGCATGATGACTTTTTTTTCAGTCACTGATCGAGCTTGTATATACGGATAGATCTCTGCTGCTATTACTCGTTTTGGATATAAATCTCCAGTATTGGACCTGATAGCTTGCCCTCCCAACTACAATCCAGATGAAGAATCATGATCCTTCGCGTTAATTATTGGTTTGATTGCGTGGTTAGCGTTGTAATAGCATCATCATTATTCTGTCGTGAGTACATCGAAATACTTTAATACTATAAAGATGCGATCTGCTTTATTTATCATCATACAATCTGGTTACCAAAGAGAAAATAAAACATCTCATTAATGTTGATGTGTCTGATGAAGAGGAAAACAAACACATGCACCAACGAAACTAATATAGGTTAATCAGTTATTGATGACTGACAAGTTTATAGAATCTAATTACTCATTATCTCGCCAACTGCTGCAAAATTACTGTGTTGGATCAATATTATCACTTGCGTATGTACAGGTGAACAAGCGATTAAATGGATGGAATTTCGGGGAGAAATGGCTTTCCTCGACGCACGTTAATATATTCTTTCGATGATTTCATTTGCCTTTTCTTGTTACCGTTATAAAAAATAATAACCAAGTAAGAAATTGCTATAAAGATATCTTCATTAGGCTCCTTAGGATACAATGTTAAGTGAATTAAGCTATTGTCGTGTTATTTTTGAAATCTAGATGGACATGAGTTTACGAAAAGTTTGAGGCATATTAATATATTGTCTTTATGAAGCTTTCTAATCGCATTCGATATTTTACCATAATTATAATCATCCGGAAAATAATACCATTACTTGGCTCGAATTTCGCCATAAACGTAGCGCACTGCATCTGTACCAAAAACGATTAACAGGATAGATCTATTGTTAAATATGTAATATAGAATATATATAATTGGTCACGTGATTTACATTACTACCGAGTACACGAACTTTTGCATAGCGTTTTTATCAATTGTTCCAAAAACATGCAATGTTATCAGAAGTGCGGTCAGTGTCTAATACTAACGTATAAAGATACTTTTTCTGACAAAGAGACGTATTATGACTTCAATAGTAAAGTTTTACCCTATTGGCACGAGATTTGATTTTAAGACATCTGTTGGTATTTATTACTTGCCCATTCATCTGCTTTCAGCTGGGCCATTAAAAAAAGTACTTGTTGCTCAGGTCTCGAGAGACCTTGAAATACCTCATGGACCAACTTTTCTTTGGAAATTATAGATGAACGATTACAATTGTAACAATAAATATATTGCCTTGTCGAATTCGGTAGAACTAATGTCCACCACTTCTGTTTAGAACTTATTTCTATGTTAATAAAGGGAAAAGTTGTTTTGATCTGGCGAAGATAATAGAACTGTGTTTATTAATGGTTCGTCTGGTTTGCCAGAACGCTTTACCATGCAACTATCTCTTTATCAGTGGGTATTTCTTGAGAATTGACCCCATTATTAAATTAAATGGGTTATTGAATTATCATTGTCGGCGATGTCCTCGCCTTATAATTATTAATTTAAAGAATGCACTTATTTCATTATCGATATGTGTTCCTTCTGTGGTGAACATTTTAGTAACTTAACCAATTTGAAGAAGGCTACTACCGGTGATGTTACAGTCCTCGGCAAAAATGATGGCGGCCAGTATTTTTTAATTTATTATGAGTAAGTTGACAAGAATCAAATGTTAGATTAACAGATTAGACTATGTCAGGCAAAAAATATATTTTTCGATTTATAATTTCTAAATTTTAATTATATAACAAGTCTAAAAACGCAAACATATTATAGTAGATTTGAGACAGTTTATTATAATAGTTTATCCGAGATTATTATTATTAAATGCAAACATAAAGACAAGGGTACTTAACCATGCCTGACGTATTAAGTAGTTAAGAAAAATAACAATAAATTTACATATTACTATAATGACAGATAGCCGATTTATTATTTTCGCAGGGACTGTAAGTGAAAGAAATCTTAATTGACGAATATACTTTTACATTGACAACTTAATAAATATTAAGCAATAAATAAAAACCGCTTTATCGAACACTTTCTGAGTTTGCTTATATCAGCTCTTCAATTAGACGGATTTTATGCCTGTACCGTGAAATCAGTTATATCGACTTTCACTGTGTACTTACAATTTTGTGATAGGGTCAAATGTGATTATATTGTTGATAGGGGTGTAATAGTAAACAGGTACACAGATAATACTGAATTGCTCCTTTGATTAGAATAAAACATGACCTCATCATCTGAACTTTAATATGTTTAGTTGGTGCTTATGTACTGTAAGAACGTTATCAATCAGGTTATATTTTACCAGCATGACGTAATAGTCTCAATCGCTCTTCTCTGAAAAAAAGGTTACAATATCAAAAGTTTATCCAAGATAAAACAGATTCGACAGAAATTGCTCAGCCAACTTTATAAACCCGTGAAGACGCTCTCACGGGGAGCTTTTACTGCTTGACACTGAAAATATGTAGAGTATCGATTTGTATACATGATCAATACCGTTATATCAAGTACAAGCGTGGGATTGTGATTATCTTAGTCCTGATTTTTTTTTACGTCAAATCAAGTAGCCATGTAGGCTTGGATTAACAAAAGTGTACGACTGTACGTTACATAGACTTTATTGCTATATTAATATTAGTAATTTACTTGAATTTAAAAAGCAGTCGAGGTAAATAATAATTTATATGTGACATTGCCGGAAATAAGTTGATTGAACAATATGCTAATCAAAGAGTGTAAATGCTTATTATTATGAGACGACCCATTGCCCGTGTGAATAGGAGGGACTTATTATGCTCTTTGTGACAGTGGAATCACATATGCAGAAATAATAGTGTTGTTAACTCCCTTTATTAAAAATCACTTTACCTACATATAATAGTGGTATTACTAATAAAAACATACTACGTACATCCATTACAGCCTTTTTACGCGTATCACCACTCGTATTATTCTCCAAGGAAGGTGGTGATCCCCCAGCTATTTCTTTCCAATACTTATTAACAAACAGATTCTTTGATTTAAACAATTTCACCAGCCAATTTCCAGCCAATATTCCACCAAACATGGGAAGCAACCCCACTCCACCATCTTTACCAAGAGTAAGGAGCATTACTGGCGGCCCTGGTTTGTACTCGACTAATTTCTTCTCGCTGGCCAATGCGATTATATTTTTGGCAACCACATCTGCTTGAAGGCCGGCCCTGAGTGCCATTTTCGTCTCTTTGACATTATTAACGTCTCCCAAGGCAAAGATATGTTCGTATCCTTCATGGTCGAGTTGTAGCGTAGGACGTACTTTGACTAATCTAGTATCGGGTTCTATTAACTGAGAGTTTAGTGTACCCGCCAATTCAGAATTGACGTGATTTCCGGTGGCTATTAATTGAACATCCGATTCGATTTTAGTGCCTTTGTCCGTTACAAGGGTAACTTTATTGTCTCCATTGCCTATGTCAGAAGCTGAAAATTGGACGCGTTCGTTTAGAATGACATTTACGCCTAGGGCTCTTAGACGAACGGTAGCCTGGTCTCGGAATTTCTTTGGAAAGTCATCATTGAGAAGTAATTCATGTGGATGAACGACAGTTACTTTTTTGTCTTTGTAGGTAGTTTTTATTTCAGCGGCAAGCTCTGTTTGGAAAATAAGCAGTAAGATAGTTAATTTAGTCGAGCATATAGCTAGTCAACACAATTAAATCGATTTTTTAATATTTCGACATACCGATTCCGACAGAGCCTCCTCCAATAATTAACACTCTTGTTGCCTTCTTCACTGCACTCCGGTAAGTATCAACTTCTTTTACTATTTCTTTCTTGCTCCTTCCATCAATCTTGGCAGGTTTAGCACTATCGCTTCCGGTAGCAATTATAGCATACTTGAATGGTACTTTATCTCCAAATTCATCGACGGCCTTGTCCAATGTCACTTCGTTGTCACTCAGTCGAACTGCAGCTGCATGGATAACCTTTCCATCGTGTTTAAAGAGGTTGTCGTATGGGATGAGAAGCTGAGATTCGAAATTGTCTTCTGCGACCGTTCGTGGAGCCCCGACCGAATGCCAGTAGTGAGTTTTACGCTCGATTAAGATAATACGATGTGTTTTGTGTAACGCGGCTTCAAGTTTTTGGGCAGTGGGTACGCCTCCATATCCACCACCAATGATTACTATATTCGATTTAGACATGTTTAAATGTTGATTGGGATGATTATTCGCTAGGTTTGTTAAGTATCAAATATTACAATTACAAGACACTAGTTTGTTTCTGAGAATTTTACGAACGTCAACGCTCCTGTTATATATATAGGCGAATATTACAAATTGAAGTCGATTGAATTTGTCATCTGCGTCCGGGCGGTGATGTTTGGCAAACTAATCGATGCGCAAGTAATCGGACAGCTTCGATAATGAGGAGCGGCCTAATGTATTGTATTAGTAATTCCAAACGGTTCCGTGTACAAGTAGATTTTCTGATCGGAGGTTTATTCAACCGACGACGGTTTACATAATAAGGATAATCGAGTATTTATCCACCGCCTTTGCCGTGATCCGGCTGTAATAATACAAAGTCGTCCAGAAATACATGTTTATTAACCAAAAAAAATCATACTTGCCTCTAAATAACCAATCCAAATTATTACGGGAAAAGCGGTAGATGCTGGCGGATTCTGATCGGAGGACTATTTAACCGAACAGTTTACGTAACGCAAGACGCATAGACTTATATGGAAGTTCAAAGAACGATTGCTCCGTATAATGTATGACAAGCATCATACGCCCTGCTATTTCTCTATGACAGGGTTTGTGGAACTCGAAAAGGATATGAGGTGACACAATTAACTTAATCATATTAATATTAACGTTAATATTAATATTAATATGAAAATAATCTCCGTAAATGCACGCACGTGACCCAGCAGCTAAATATGATATAGTCTGTCAATGTCCATCACCAATGAAATTTGAAATTCGGCGAGTTAAATCCCAGATCATAAGACAATAATAATAATAATAACAAATTATCGGATTATAAAATGTAACGAATAAAGAATCCGTGCTATAATCATTCCACTTTACGCAAGCGAACCATTTTCTGGTGTCAATTATATTCGAGATGTGAGAATACAGTTCTGTAGTAACATTGTCTGCTAACATCAGGTCATGTATTTATTTAAACATCAATAGTCAACAGTGGACAGAACATCTTAATATCATACTCTGTAATAATTTACGGTTGTAACAGTCAGCCACTATTTAAGCATGCCATCGTGGTCATAGTCATAAAAATCGTTTATACTAATTGTTAGTTAGAGGATTGTACTGAAATTTCACCGTTAATTCATCCTGCCACCAAAAAGTAAGTTAAAAATACGAACTTTGTCTGTATGTTTGCGATAATAAGAAATCTCGTGCGGAGTATGTTAATTGGATCAAAAATAAATGGCAAGTCAGGGTTAATGAGTCTACCATAACACGAATTTTGCAAATAAGCAACCAGTTACTTTCTGAAGAAGAAATCATTGCTCCAAATGCAAGAAGACACAGATCGGTTACATACCCAGAACTCGAACAAGCACTGAAATAGCAGCTATCAGTGCCAGTACGGCATTACAAGGCTTGGAAACTGTACAAGCATTTTTACTACAGCAAGAAAATGCAAATACATAAAAATGGCAAATATCCTCGAGAGAAAAGCTAATACGATGCGACAAGCAAGCATAGATCTATTTAACCAATAAATGAATAAAGTATCGAAATTGCGTGAATTTGCTATACTCTCCCTAAATGCACGTTTTTGCATTATTCCCTAAATGCATGCTCTCACACTTTCGGTCCCAAGGCGGCATTTAGGGAGAGTTCACTGTATATCGATATCGGTTATTTTCCTGCATAAATAGAAAGTTGTACAATATTTTTGTGTAAAATTTAACCCAATGACATAATTCATCCATTATATTGAAATACTTCTGGAAGTAAGAAAGAATCCCCAACTATCATCCGATGTTTACATTTCATTTTATTCACACGATACATGTCATAACTTGAAATAATATAAAAGGTGCAATTAATCGCAATCTTTTAATTATGCTCTCGCAACATACACTATAATAATCTTTAAGATTGTTGACAATTCGTAAGAAACCACTACGAGCGCTTAAAATCCCAACGACTCCCTCCTGTCAAACGTGAGACACCATCCAATTTTACTCATACTTTCCCTCAACACAGACTATAAATAAACGTTACGTTTCTCGGTACAATCACCACCACTAATAACACATCCAAAGTCAATACACTGAATCATCAGACAACACTACACCAGTCAAACCGGTCGAAAATAAACCACCCAATAAAGAATTTGGTAACCGTTTTCTTTTCCCGACATGAAATGGTCGCTCTTCCATCTGACCTCATGTATGATCTCGCAGACAATCCCTATATTAGTAATGAGGCGTTATGGCTGGAATTAATTCAAAAAAAAATTTTTTTATACACTTTGTTTTCAAATTGAATCTATAGTCACCGACGACCATTACCTAATCGAAATAAAATGTTATTATGGATGCAATGACTTGAATTAGTGGAAGCAGCAAGGTACTGCTGTCATTATTACAGTGTCTTATTACATAACTCATAGCGTTTATCCGCTGATTGAGATAATAATAAGAAAAATGTCGACATATTAATATACATTGGGAAAAGTTTGTCAAGGTAATATGGTATGAATATTGATCATCGATAAAATTTGCCAAACTGTCCAATATAGTACAGCCTATAGCATATTTGCTTTATTATTTATCAGCAAAGATTCAACAGATTCTTACCAATTACTATAACTATTACTATTACCGTAAACTCTCATGATAACGCGGACAGCAGTTACGTGACGATTCACAGATCATTTGCAACATCTCATGAATAAGAGCCCCCTTATATAATGAAGGGGGCCTTATTCATTGAGAGTTTACGGTACTATTATAAAGGGTACCACATCAACATCGTTTCTGCCAAGCCCCAATTTTCTTCAATTGTCAATAATAATGAGTACAAGTGAAACTCGATAAGCCGAAGTTTTTTTGATTTCCCAAAATTTTATTATAGCCTAAGCCGAAATTAACTAGTAAATTCGCGTTAAACGATAAGCCGAAGATTTTGGCTAACCGACTATAATAATTTTATCTCGATATACCGAAGTAATCACGTGAATTTATTTTGATTGGTTCATTCTTAAATACCATTAGCGCAGAGAATTCGAACGATCTTCATGCATCCATTTCGCGCGCATGGCTTGTACATATTTTTACGGGGAAAGTTTCAATTAACTCTTTTATTTGATTAATATTTCAGAATGAACGATCGTGGAGAAAGTTCAACAAGTGGCTCTTCAAATGTTTAAACGATTCAAGAAATAAAACAGTAGAGAAAAAAGTAAACCGAAAGACGCTGACTGGCCTTGAAAAATAATCTCTTTGTATTAATTCTTTGCTTCTGTATATTACTCAAGATTGTGATAGTGAGCTTCAAGTTGATACTGCTTTCTAAAAAAGTTAAAGAGAACGATTGAGAATAAACAATACAATATGTTACAGCAAACGAGTATTCTTGCATTTTATCATTAATAAAGTTTATATATAGTGTTGTTATAAGCCGAAAGCTTGTGTAAACTATATATACATTCAGCTTATTGCGAAATTTGATAAAACGAAACTCTCAATAAGCCGAATAAACTGTCCCTTCCCCCGACCTTTGGTTTATCGAGTTTCACTTGTACTTTGCATTTCACTAAAGTATAGAGGAGGTTCCCATGATTTGATTACAAATATCTTCTAAGGGCTGCCTTAACTGTTAAAGTATTCTACAGACTCACAACACATATTAATCAGGGATATAGAAGATTCTATTTTGGTATCTCTTGTATAACAAGCTGCAATAATATGAGACTTCCCATAGCCATATATCATGAGATGACAATGCAAGCTATCAATTTTCTCTAGGACTTTGTCGAACCCCCCCCCTGTATTTGCATGTCTCTTCCTGATGAAGCAACCCGGTTTGTCAGCTAAAAAAGGGAAAGGGAGTTGCAAAACCTGGAAAGAAATAGGTTTCCCTCTTGTAGTTGAGTGCTTGGATCTTTTCATACAGGCGCCTCAAAAAGGAACGGCATTTAATAATTATTAAAGTTGCTTTGGAAAAAAGAATGCTCAAATTTAATTCTAAAACAGTGGGAACTCGCAAAAAAAGATTTTGAGAATGAGGGTTTTATAAGTTCAAACGAGTCGTAAAGGAAAAGCACGGGCCATAAAGGCGTACCCGTAAGGGCTGATGGTGATATGGAAATAAAGAAATGTTGGCTGGTGAGAAAAGAGAGAAAATAACGAAAAGCAGTTGCTTACCGGGTATGGTTGGATTTTGTAACATAGAATATTGTAAATATTGTGATACTGAATGGGGGAGGGCGAAAAAGAGTGCGCGAACATTAATAACATAAAGCTATACTAACACAGAGTGTGGTGTATGAAGTATTTATTACGCGAAGATGAACTACGTATCAGTACTTTAGCGATCAATTCGCATGTATCAGTAAAATTCTGCTCGCTTAATTTTTTCTTTGGCTCACCAAACTGTACCGTTGCTTGAGTGAGGTCAAGCTTTTGTTGATCAGGAATCGGGATTTCTTGCTCAATCTCTCCTCGGACTTTCCTCCTGTGTAAATATTGTATATGCAGCATGGCTGGAAGAGAGTGCGCGACATTAATATAAAGAATAATTAAAGATGAAGGGCGAAGTGTATGAAGGCATTTATTACGCGATGCATCAATTCACATGTATCAGTGAGATTCAGCTCGCTTAATTCTTTCCTTTGCTCACCCAACAACTGCACCGTTGCTGCTTCGGGTGATTGCTTGAGTTTGAGGATAACTTGAGTGAGGTCAAGCTTTTGCTGATCAGGAGTCGCTCAACCTCTTTTCGGACTTTCATCCTGAGTGAATATACTGTACATAATTTTTCTGACGAACTGTGATTTTCTACTTACTGTAAACCAAATTTCTGAGTAGCAGTCGCCATTATATTATTTACAACAGGGTATTAGGATACTTGTTGCTTGCTGAAACAATAAAGCAAAGGAAGCTTAATGAAAAAGCAAGAAAGAAATTGATGAAATGTGTTCTTTTATACCCTGATCTGGAAAAATCTATGGACTAATTCTTGAATTTTATTGGCTCTTGCACACTTTACGTCTGGTCAGAGTAGTTCCTTTATTTATCCTTGATCACGGTATTATATAGAACGATTGGAAGAAAAATCTAGAATCATCTGATTGACGTTCCTTACTATTAACTATATCAGCTAGTCTTTCACGAAGGGATATTATGAGTAATATAGTCACTATAAAATTCAGGAATTATTTTTTCTGCATAATAATAACCAAGGTGTATAGAATGAATGTCACAATCGAACATCTGGCTCCTCGACTTACTTTTTCTAACAGTTTTTCGTTTGTAAAGTTTTGGCTTCAACTATTTCCTTGTAGTTTAGATAGGAGCTGTTGTTTCGAGTATACACGTATTCACATACAAAGTAATTCTTTCAAATTGTCACGGAAACAACAGCAATCAACCTCGCACGAGTTTTAATAAATTGCGGAAGACAAATATGTGGCGCCCAGCAGCTTTTTTATCATCGTCATGAATTGCTTTTGCGATCGGTTATTGCTATGAGAATGGGATGGGAGTAGAAGAAAACATTCAAAAGGCAGTTAAATTGTATGAACAAGCAATTAAAAGGGCCACTTAAACGATAGAATTACGGGATAGCCAATCTTGAAATTTAATTATGAAGTCCACAACACAAATATTATTTATAAAATTGGAATTCTGTGATAAATATTCGAGTTATATACCATATTTGAAATTGTACATTACGAAATTAACTTAAATATGGGGTTTAATTTAATAAATATTTCTCTACTCTGCCTTACCTACTTTAGTACCACTTCCTTCAGTTTTCCCTCCACTAATATCTTCCCTATTAACTACCCCTTCGTTCTTGGCTGCGATACCACCTTCACTGCCTCTTAAGTCATCGCCCTTCAATTCACCTAGAATTGTAAATTACGAAATTAACTTAAAACATGTGTTTTAAGTTAATATTTCGATTTTTTTTATACTCTGCCTTACCTATTTTAGTACCCTTTCCTTCAGTCACATTGAGACTTGGTCCTGCAATCGCATTGAGACTTGATCCTGTGAGACTTGGTCCTGTAGTCACATCGAGACCTGATCCTGCGAGGCTTGGTCCTGCAGTTTCCCCTCCACTAATATCTTTCCTTCCACTAATATCTTCCTTTCCACTAATATCTTTCTTTACACTAGTATCTTCCCTTCCACCAATATCTTCCTTTCCACCAATATCTTCCTCAATTTCCAATGCGTTCTGGGCTGCGATATCATCTTCGGTGCCCCTCAAGTCATCGCCCTTCAATTCACTACTTAGAATTTCCAAGTCCAGTGCGTGATCCTCACTAGTAAATGGGTGGAACAGTAGAGGCGAGGGACGAAGTGCCTCTTCGCTCAATGTCGGCCCTATACCAGCTTCAACTCGTTCTTTTATCCAATCGTACCATTGTTGTTCGGTACGGCCCTGGAGGAAGCCAACAATGATTACGGTCATATTGTCGCAGCCAACACCACCAAGATCTGAACCAGGAGCTAGGCAGCGTTCCATAAGATTCTCGCAGGCTAGTCTTAGGGAGGCAGTTTTGGATAGCTCTTGTCGAATGAAGGCGACAACGTCTTGTGATGATAAACAGTCCCAGATGCCTTTTTGTAGTAGATTTGGAGATAAGAACATAACCCGGAAGAAAGTATTTTAGTCGAAAGAAGATGCTAATGCTGAATGAGAGTGCTGAAGCAGATAGATAGCTTAGCAGAAAGTAAAGCTAATATTTAATCTTCTCTACTTACCGTCACAGGCCAGCACTATAAATTCGGTCTCTGGGTCGATTGTAAATTCGTCGACTTCCGGGTGGGCTGTAAAACGTAACGTATACAGACCACATTGCAAATTAGCACAAAGCAAACTATTTGTAAACTCAGCCAATTCAAGAATGCATGATCATGAAGTTACCAGTAACAATTTGCTCTTTAGCATCTAGGCCCGTATTCTGCTTAAATTCAAAGTCTCCAATTGCGCGAGACAAGGCGAGATTCCCTAATACGTTCATAAAGAGATGAAATAAAGCGTTAGATAATCGAGAAAGAAGCCATTCGTATTCGTCACCAATAAATGTCAGTTGTCTGATGATCATACCATTAACACGCCCAAATTCAACAAATCCACCTGCTTTATTGATTCTATCAGACTCATCTATGGTATAAAGGTCGCGTTAAGAACAGTATAGTTAAAGTCTTCGATTTGCTTTTTGACAATTCCGGTCTTTCATATTCTTTTGGTTTATTTCAAATTGCATACCTTTGTTATGTGGTTTGTGGTCGTTGGACAGTGGTCTCGCTTCGCCTCTCACACTGATTACCGCACGAGAATCGCCGGCGTTACCCTAAGCCAGAAAATAAAAGAGTTTGAATCAAGAAGAAAACGTGAATGTAGACAGTGTATCATTTGTTGAGCGCTGTGAAATATTCAAAACAGTGGGGCAAGAATGCAATCCACATGTATATGTGTATAACTTTTCGTCTGCGCTTTCACTTACGACATAGATACGATTTTCGGGCGTTATAAGTGCGACAACAGCTGTACATCCTGATGGATCAGTACGGTATTCGGGATCTATAAAATCGATAAATATTTATTAGATACGGAAAACTTGAGCCATTACCGATAGTCCATTACCACGCGGCAAGGCATATCCCGGCCTTTCTCTTCATCACCAATATCATTCGTACATCTAGCAACCTCCATCCACCAGTAAATTATATATAATTATACATACGATTCTTAAGGTCGTCATCGAGACCAAGAAATCCGCTCATTATCGACGAAGAAAAATCTCCGCGAACAAATGCATCGTCATGGGCGATACGTTTATGAAGATGTTCGCCGCTGTATTTAGCAATATTCGGACCTAATGGAGCAATTCAATATGACTTAGATGGTCAAAAGCATAAATTTACGATGGAGATAACTACTTATTGAACTGGAGCTTTAACGCCCATCGCGAAAACTATCTCGTCAAGTATAACATTAATCATCCTCGACATTCCAACACTCCTACGACATTGAATATCTCTTCCTCATATTTTTCAATTCGTATCCTTTCCCCAAACTCAATATTCTAACTTCTTTAATTAATAGTTACCACCGTGTCCATCGTAAACGCCGAAGAAGCTAAATCCTTCTTTCTGCGCCTTATTTTCGAGCTTCAAAATTGCGGTGTGCGCGTCCTCCATGCCTAAGTTACGCGTGGTAGTTAGTAGTTAAGGATAAAATTGACATGGAAGAACAAGCCGAACATTGAATAGTCGTCTTGTATATTTCATAAGGCACTACTGTCACAAACTCATTTGCTCCAAATCTTCTAATAACCAAAAGGATACTTATACGCCAGCCTTGCATTTCAGATAATGCGTAGATTAGACGACGGTCTCCATTGCTGGAAGTTTGTTTATCTCTTACTGGTTCTGATAGTGTTTGACCCATGTTCGCTAATATTATATTATTATAGTATGAGTAAGTATGAAGGGTTTCCTCTCTTTTTTTTTATCAGTTGGAATTGACGTCTCTCAAGGGACTCATTTCCTTTTGCAACTTATAGTATGCAAAAAAAATATGACGTAAACAGTCCCGTTTGTATTATGAACACAGTGTGTTTTTTTTCTGTCGCTTTATACGTTTGTATAGCTACTTACCTGCGTAAAATACGTGCTATGGGGTTTTCGCTAGCTTTGCGTATGTTCTTTATCGTAGCACATCCGTTTTTAGCTCTTATTGTACAGGGGGCAGACTATATTAGTTGTGTTATTAATAATATCTTTGTTGCCTTTGGACAATAAGTCACAATATATATTATTACTACGCTTATTGGCGGGTTAGTGGGCGTAACGACGACATACTCACCCTGTTATCAAACACAGTGCTACCTGTTCGGAAAAGACAGGTCATGTGCGCTTGGAAACCTGGGACAGAGCAAAATCTCGCTCGAATCATTGGCTACAACATTACACCATCAATAAACTTGGCCGAAGATTCCCTGGTATTTATGGAATAACGCTGGGCTGTAAAAGGGGTCATCACGCGTAATACAAATCACCTATCTTAATAGTAATATTATGCTAATTCCAGAATTCTGCTATGTGTACTCGAATAATCAACAGGATATATCCGTCATATCTACATCTTAAACGGCAATGTTACGAATTGGTATCTCATTCACTTTCCACATGTGAATAAATAATACTGCATCGATTGTGAATCAAATCTATAATAATGGTGACAATAGTGATTCCGTGTACATCCAACAAATGTACCACTGTCTTGCGTTTCTGTGTAAGCTGCGGTTCGATGTAAAGTGATACTAATAAAGACAGCCTTGTGAATGAGTTTCCTTCATTATATCTACTATTATGTTTCTGAATGCATGTTAATCTGTGGAACGTTAAACCGCCGGAGTTCGCTATTTTCCGTTATCTTTACAAATATATTGGGCGTTTTTTGCGGCCTACACACAATCGTATTCTTATACCAAAAGTCGCAAATATTATTAGTTGAAAAAACATAGGTAGCCTGCCGCGACATGATGTCATTTGGGCTTTACAAGATTTTATTCTTGTCTCGGCCTCACTCTTGAATATAAAATCCTCTCAGTTATTATATTCCCTGTTCCGGAAAATAGATAAGTGTCTTCTCAATTCGAACAAAGCCAACCCAGATGAGATGCATAAACGAATATGGTGATGCCTATCTTTACTTTGTGAATCCATTACATGTTAGCATACCGGAATGTCGAACAAATTTTCTCCGGCCAAGTGCTGCGCATACTTATTGACTCGTATCAATCCAGCTTTTTAAGTTTGTTCATTTGCCTTCACGTAAAACGTCCTTTCTTGACTGCGTATCGACAAGGGAGATATGCAACGGATTTCTTATATCTGTTATTCGTATCATAGCTTATATCGTAATGCACTCCCTAAATGCACCCTACTCTCTATATTCTGCACGTGCAACGGATTTGCATGAAATAATCTCCGTAAATGCACGCACGTGAGCCAGCTTTAAATATGGTATAGTCGGACAACGTCTATCAATGTCATAAATTATGTGAGTTATGCATCGGAGAATCTCACCACCTTTAAAAGATGCTAACGATGCTAAAAAAGTAATATCTAAACTTTGGTTAGTAGGATTAAGGCCTCTGAGGGGAAAAAAGGTAATAGAATACGATTTCGTAGTAACACTGTCCAGGTCATGTATTTATTTAGATATCAATGCCTGTAATAATTTATGGTTATGACTGTTAACCATCCAAGGATGCCATTATGGTCATCAACATAATAATTCGTTTATAGTTAATTGCTAGTTAGAAGATTGTACTGTTATCACCATGCCGCCAAAAAAGACAACTTCGTCTGTGTGCTCGCGATGACATGCGGAGCATGTTAATTGGATTGAACATAAATGAAAAGTCAGTTAATGAGTTTACAATAACACGAATTTTGCAAAGAAGCAACCAGTGACTTCCTGAAGAAGTCATTGCTCCAAATACATACCAGAACTTGAACAAGCGCTTAAGGAATTTCTTTAATGTGTCAACCTAAGTAGTGCTATTCTAATTGAGTGGCCAAAGCATTGGCGAGCAGACTGGGAATTCCTGGTGCATTAGACTTTTCTGTCAGCTGGCTCCAAAAACTTCAAGAAGAAGCATTTGTTAATTTGAATTTCGTTGCCGAGGTTCTGCCACCGCTGCATGAAATATGCACTAATTATCCGAACGAATTGGTTTTTTCTATTGGTAAATGGATCAATCATTGGCTACGCGGCATCTAACGGGGAGCAAGAAAGATAAAGAACGCCTTTCAATTGCCCGTTTTGTGCAAATGCTGATGGATCGCGTAAGTTAAATCCTTATAACCCTACCGATATAATACAAAGGCTTAGGGATATAAATAGTGTCGACCTTGTAATGGCGAACAAAAGTTAACGCGGCCATTGCCAGTGCAGTGCTTACAATTATAGTCTTCAGTGTCAGTATCTTTGAAGATATTAACAAATCTGATTACTATTATGATAGCACAGGATGAGAATGAATGGGGAAAAAGCTTAAAACACCCATAAAACACACAGATAAAAGCATAATGTAAACGGTGGCTTTTTGAAAAGAAAGATTATTACCATATCCATGATTAATTTGTACAGGCCACACTATTGCTATGATACGGAATTGTGCTCATCTTCTATTTACCTCAGTTGCATGAGAAAATTTAATCAAATTCATTATTGTTTTGGACTTTTTGGTTTATATTTTGCATGCCTGAGCCAAGTTTGCTGACAACGAGCGGTCGTATTATTAAGAATGTTGCTAAGATCGTCCTTACAACTCATAAGCTTCCGGTCAGATGATAACCAAAGTGAACGCCAACTGACATGTCGTAAGCTTCCATCGTAAAGTAGTTTTTCGTTATTCTGTCGGAGTCTTCGAATAACGATTGTTAATACATATTATTGTGAAGTACCTTGAGATTTAGCAATTTCTTCAATCCGATCGATAGGTTAATTAAACGGTCGTGTATTATTGTATATTGAGACTTTATTTCAGATCATTCCGTAATCGGAATAATCAATATATTAGTATTAGAACATTGAAACATTGGAACAGAACGCGTAGAAATAAGAGAACATAATTTATCGTCGTATTCGGAATTATTCAAATACCATTGCAAGGCATTCGATGATGTAGTGGCAGATTTTTTCTCCGATGGCCGGATGATTACGACCACGCGTCTGATTTTTTATCGCATAGGAGCTGCCACCACATTGCCAATAACTATTTTTAAAATACGTCACTCGAGATATACACGCGCTATTTAACTAAACAATACTCACGGTGAAATTCATTAATACATTACATACTATTCTTGACAAATAACGTGTTGATTACATCTTTCTACGACGGACTATGAGATTATAGACATGATCAAACAGTCACAAATATCTTAAATTCAGACGGTTTGTCTAGCTATTGTAATTAAAATAAATTTGGATTAACTTTACATTTAAAAACGAATGGTTTACATTCCGTACCAACACGTGAGTAATACAAGTCTCAAACGTTATAATATCTGCCAATCAAATTTCAATTCCTCCCACAATTTAACAATCGGTACAAACAGAAAGGTGCGAGGGGATAATGTGATAAAAATTCGCTTCTACTAGAATTCTGCCTGAACGCACTTCCAAGATGAGCGCTCAGTCCTGGTGATCTAGTTAGATGAAAAAAATGGACAATTGTTTGAGAATTGCTTGGAACTCTATCTCAGTTGGATTCTAAGTGGTTGTGTTGTCCAACAGTCGATAATTAGTGACTCGTTGATATTAAACACTTGTAATAATAAAAAGCTTCTTTGTGTGACTATGAGATTAAAGACTTAGCAGTCTGACTATTATTTACTGCAACGTACTAGTATACGTATTTCGGTTATTCTTATCGTACGTGTTCCTAGAATATCAACTTCATCAATACCAACTAAAGTGCGGTTCTTAGTTTTACAGGAATCAAGTTTAAGACAAAATTAGAGTATTGTTCGTATGGCGGCATCGTCTCACACATTTACGTCAATATCATTGCAGGAAATCAAAGTATATGTCTATTGAAGTGTTATCGGTTTATTCTAATCAATGATGGTAAATAAATAATGATAATGAATTATAAAAATATGAAGAAACTATCTTACAGTAAAGATTTTAAGCTTTAAAATCCTTCTTTTTTTTTTATAAAGTGGAATTGTAATACGTTGTGCCAAATCTCGAGACAATAGTTTCTATATGTTATTAAGAATTGAATATTAACAACGCTTCTTGAAATAGTATGAGAATTGGTATTTGATAATGCGATTAATTGGATGGAGAAGTATGATGAGATGAAGACGAGATTGACCCATGAGAAGAGTGAGAATGAGAATGAGAATGAGAATGAGAATGAGAATGAGAATGAGAATGAACAGATGCTATTGACGATTGTGATGCAGGGGGTTCAACACCGTAAGGAGAACCCTGGCTTTGTTTACTACCTCTCCTCGCTGGTGGGTACCGTGTTTTTGATAATATCCCTTCTAATTGGAATGACTCGCTAGTACCCTCCGATATGATTGACTCTGAGTCATCAAACACACGCTCTATGTCTACCTCCTCATCTGTAGAAGAATAAGAACTCGGCTGTGTCAGAGTCATTTGTCTATTGCTATCCGATCGACGTGGCATATGAGCGATACTGCTCGATGACACAAAGACAGATGAATCGGTAAACGCATCAACATATGTAGAGAACGACGTTACAGATGACGATTTAGACAGACTCTTCTCCCAAGTAGCCTCTATTCTTTCTTCATATTCGGGATCAGTGATATTCTCCTCAATGATGTTGGGTATTTGCAGTGATGTCATTGTCATTGTCCTACCAGCGTCAATGCTATTGGCAGACAGACTAC